CGAAGCCCTAACGAGCTTCAGTCTGGTGGGGTGGTCTCCACGCCGTCCCGCATTGACCTCTGACTGCAGCCGCAGTCTCTCCAACACCCAGCCCCAGGTAGGGGTTCACATCTCCTGATGAGTGGAGAGGGAGCCGTGGAGGGCCCGCCAGCGAAGGTCAGCGACGGGGTGCTCTGGTTTCCTACAATCACCAGCCTCAGAGGGGAAAGGCCATGTGGGGATTTTTCTTTCTCAACTACAGCTAGAGATGTCATTATTTTTTCTCAGACAGGTATGTCCAGTGTCTAGACACCAGATTACTGAATGGATGAAACACCTACAGAAGACAAAGTAGATCTGTCAAGAGCTGACTGAGCGAAGTGGAGATAGAATTGTGCATCAACTAGTCATAGAGAGTATCACCAAGATCAGTTAATATCAGAGCAAACATGAACAGATAGGCTAATTGTTTCCGTTTGTTTGGAGGGGGTTTTAGAAGAGGGAAACATTAATGTGACCACTGGTCCTAGTGATAGGTTAGTGATGGAGATGGTCATGTAATTTGTAATTGATGAAATGTCAATATTTCTCAAAGTTTTAGAATTAGTTGCTTATTAGGCTATACACTGGGGGGGAGAAAGTATTTCGTCAGCCACCAATTGTGCAAGTTCTCCCACTTAAAAAGATGAGAGAGGCCTGTAATTTTAATCATAGGTACACGTCAACTATGACAGACAAATTGAGAGAAAAAAAATCCAGAAAATCACATTGTAGGATTTTTAATGAATTTATTTGCAAATTATGGTGGAAAATAAGTGTTTGGTCACCTACAAACAAGCAAGATTTCTGGCTCTCACAGGCCTGTAACTTCTTCTTTAAGAGGCTCCTCTGTCCTCCACTCGTTACCTGTATTAATGGCACCTGTTTGAACTTGTTATCAGTATAAAAGACACCTGTCCACAACCTCAAACAGTCACACTCCAAACTCCACTATGGCCAAGACCAAAGAGCTGTCAAAGGACACCAGAAACAAAATTGTAGACCTGCACCAGGCTGGGAAGACTGAATCTGCAATAGGTAAGCAGCTTGGTTTGAAGAAATCAACTGTGGGAGCAATTATTAGGAAATGGAAGACAAACAAGACCACTGATAATCTCCCTCGATCTGGGGCTCCACGCAAGATCTCACCCCGTGGGGTCAAAATGATCACAAGAACGGTGAGCGAAAATTCCAGAACCACACGGGGGGACCTAGTGAATGACCTGCAGAGAGCTGGGACCAAAGTAACAAAGCCTACCATCAGTAACACACTACGCCGCCAGGGACTCAAATCCTGCAGTGCCAGACGTGTCCCCCTGCTTAAGCCAGTACATGTCCAGGCCCGTCTGAAGTTTGCTAGAGTGCATTTGGATTATCCAGAAGAGGATTGGGAGAATGTCATATGGTCAGATGAAACCAAAATAGAACTTTTTGGTAAAAACTCAACTAGTAGTGTTTGGAGGACAAAGAATGCCGAGTTGCATCCAAAGAACACCATACCTACTGTGAAGCATGGGGGTTGAAACATCATGCTTTGGGGCTGTTTTTCTGCAAAGGGACCAGGACGACTGATCCGTGTAAAGCAAAGAATGAATGGGGCCATGTATCGTGAGATTTTGAGTGAAAACCTCCTTCCATCAGCAAGGGCATTGAAGATGAAACGTGGCTGGGTCTTTCAGCATGACAATGATCCCAAACACACCGCCCGGGCAACGAAGGAGTGGCTTCGTAAGAAGCATTTCAAGGTCCTGGAGTGGCCTAGCCAGTCTCCAGATCTCAACCCCATAGAAAATCTTTGGAGGGAGTTGAAAGTCCGTGTTGCCCAGCGACAGCCCCAAAACATCACTGCTCTAGAGGAGATCTGCATGGAGGAATGGGCCAACATACCAGCAACAGTGTGTGAAAATCTTGTGAAGACTTACAGAAAACGTTTGACCTGTGTCATTGCCAACAAAGGGTATATAACAAAGTATTGAGAAACTTTTGTTATTGACCAAATACTTATTTTCCACCATAATTTGCAAATAAATTCATTAAAAATCCTACAATGTGATTTTCTGGAAATAAAATTCTCATTTTGTCTGTCATAGTTGACGTGTACCTATGATGAAAATTACAGGCCTCTCTCATCTTTTTAAGTGGGAGAACTTGCACAATTGGTGGCTGACTAAATACTTTTTTTCCCCACTGTATATCGATGTGTGCCCAATGCCGTCCCTCATCTCTGATTCTCCGCTTGGCGCGCAATATCAAGTGCGCCTATAGGCTATTTAGAGGTTTCAATCAAATTATCAATAGCCTATAGGAACAGAGCTAAGTTATACAATAACTTTTGTGTGTGCTGCCTAACCAATGGCGGTGCTGTGTAGGCATATGGCGGCAGTTCAGGAGGAGAGTCAAAGGCTTTTTCCGAAAATATTTTTTTATTAGGCCTAGTCCGAAAACTGTTGCACGGAATAATCTATATCCTATGTTCTGTTCAGTTTTAGAAGGAGAGGGCGAAATTGAGAAAGACCAGAGGTCAACTTTGATAGCTTGCTACTACTATAATTGATTTTTATTAAAAACAATATGTTTCTTGCCCATTATGTATTTATCAGAGTTATTGACCTCACAATAAGCCAGATTTGAGTAATTGATTGTGGTGCTGAAACTTGAAGCAGCAGCCACTGCACAATCAATCTGAAATGGACAGCTCATGGTGCTGAAAGTAGGCAAATTCAAGTAAGCATAATTAATATCAACGTCTTCATTTTAATTACTAACAACAAGAGGGCTTTGAGTTGGAGCCTATTCCTTCCTATTTCCCATTTTCATTTCAGAGACATCCGATTTTCTCGATGTAACCCTTATTATAAATAATGTTCACTCCCTTATGGGCTTTTGAGGAAGACCCATAATCTTCGAGGTCACCCAAAAATGTCATGGTCTTATATATTATTTTATAGCATGCAGCATGTCTCACACATGGATGATGGATTTCTATGGTTTCTATGGGAGAAATTGTCTTTCCACAGAATGTGATTCAGAGAGCCAGTTCTATTCTGAGGTATTGGATTTGTGTTCTGATAAATGATCTAGAGCTCTATCTACTGTCTGAAATGTATATTACACAGACTTGGCAGAAAAAAAACATAGGCAGAAAAAAAGACATCTGTAGCTAGGTTTCCATCCAATTGGCTACAGATTTTCATGCGAATATTCTAAAATCCGCATAAAGAAAATATGCAAATGTTCCCACTAGTGGGGTGTTTCCACCAAACGTAACAACATTTGGAAAAAGTAAAGGGGTCTGAATACTTTCCGAAGCCACTGTATGCAGTGCTTAATTTGAAACATCTCCGTTTTGGACTGTTTTTGTTCCGGAACCTATTTGGCCGGATCCAGTACCTCTCCTGGCATGAAACATAATTGTCACTTTTTTGCAATGTAAACATTTGAATAAAAGCGATCAAAGTTCATTCCAGTTGCCTCTTAGTTAATTATCCTGACCCCACAAAAAAACAATGTGAAAAATTAGATTTTAAGCCCGAGCCTAATATTCTAAGAGTTGATTTGGGTTGGGCCGGTCAGGTTTATGGTTTGAGCAACATTGTAACTAACCTATGTTTGAGAACAACACTTGGCGTTGGCTGTGTGAGAGGCGCGTCATTATGTCTCACATAACTAGAATGAGATTGACTTTCTATGATCTCTTCCCTCTCTCTACTCTGATAGACATGAGCCTGGAACTCTCATCTCTCCAGCGTTGCACTTCATCATTTATTTCCTTAAAGAATCACAGCCACGCGAAGGGTTCTGTACTAACTGTAGCACCCCTGATACATTTAAATACACTTACCAAAGATATAGATTTACTGCTGTCTGTTCAAAAATAAATTAAATCATTCAGAATAGCCTACTACACCATGAGAAGGCCTATAATTTAGCGACAGAGGACCAATAGATGTGGATTGTAACCCAATTACAAGGAAAAGCCTATAGTCGGGAACGCGCAGCATATCTGTCAGTGAAACAACAGCACCCAGACAAAACAGGCCTTTCGCAATATTTCAAATACAATCGAGGGAAAACACAGGTTGGAAAGCAAATGGCTGCTACTGAAAAGAGAAGACTCTATGCTGTAGGCTACCAAAATCTTTGATCAACTTCCAGATATTGTTTTACAAAAAAAGAGAGAGAGATAGCCGATGTGCTCATGTGTAGTGTCGAGTCAATGTTGCTAATTATTGCTGTTAAACAAAGGAGTCCGCCCATACTGAACTTTGATCATAAGTTTTATTCATATCACAAGATTTCAGCATAAGTTTACGGATGTCAAGATCACCCAGAGAGCAGTGTCCTCCAAATTATTATTGTCTGCTCTGCTCTTCTTCGTTTAAACCCAGTACTTATAATTTTCCCAAGATATGGGTGGCTCCCTCTACTGTCCAATCCCCTGTCTACAACACACACTCCCTCTGTTCTATGTGGCGTCACACTAAAACAATTCCCTCTGACACTAAATAAACATCCTCTCAGGTTCCACTTAAAAACATTAACAAAGTCATAATCTTAATACACTACACATGCCAAAAGCCTATCACCAGCGAGTGAGCTGTGCATCATTTGGTGAGTCAGTGAAACTGGAAAGCGTTTTCAGGACTATAATTTCCTCCTCATATAGCCTACAATGTGTCTCCACACACCTAGGCCTAGGCTATTGGTGGATTCAAGACAAGGTCGTTTTTATTGATCTCAGATTATCAATTTGTCAGTGTGAAAGTAGCCTGCCATTTCGATAATTTGTGCGGTATTAAAAAACATTCTGCCCAAGTCTCCAGTCATGTAAAATGATGTAGAATTGCATGAAATGCGTTTATAAAAGGCCAACATTTTCCCAGACCCTAGGCTCCTAAAAATGTTCCCCATGTGTGCAACTTCAATAATTGCCTCTACTCTACTGCTTTATGCCACTACGCAAATGCAATGATATACATGCAATGCTTTATTATAAAGGTGATTTTATTCTCTTGCATTCTGCTACCTCAGAACTCCCCAGGTTACAATGAAATTATTTAGCAGTATTAAGAAATGCTTATATGATGCTACAAATAAAATCTGAATAAATTCCTTAACTTAAATAACCAAAAATATTTCAAACAGGATGCTTTATTTAATAAAAACATAAACTTAGAAACAGAACATTGTTCTCTAAAACAGAACTTGGCAGCCCAACAGAACAGACAACAACAAAAAAATACCCCCCCCCCAAGAGAAGTCAATATGACGTTAGGGCTGTTAGATTATCTTGAAAGGCTAATGTAAGCGTTTTGCTGCTCCCTCTCTGGACAGCCTGTCAGCCTCCTCGTTTCCTAGGTACCCAGCGTGGCCTGGGATGTGCAACTGGAGAAAGAGAGAGGAGAGAGTCAAAGGCAGAAGGAAACCGTTAGTCATTTCAGTTGTGCATCATCAATCATTGAAAGTTCCAAAACCTTTTTGGCCCACGACCCCATTTTGATATCATTTTGAATTCTTGCAAGCCCAACCATGTGAAAAAGTGATGTAATCAACAGCCAACGACAGTCAATTGCAAAGCAGTCTGAAAGTATGGGTGTACTTGCGCATGTCCCGGCGGAACTTTCAAAAGTGGTCGACAATGCGTTCCTTATCACTGCCATCTCATCCATCGATATTTGGATTTGATGCAGACAAGAGCACTGAATCCAGCTTCACATACAAGTTTAATGGTCAAGTGTAGGCTGGCCTTTCTCGCCATCTTAAGGCACCCATTTTAAAATACAAATTAAATCAATGGGTGCCTTTAGACCATTAAACTTGAATCATTCCCATGGTGAATGGCTACTGCTAGTTCTTTGGTAGCTAGCACATTGAGTAAATATGACTCAAAGGGAATACTGTGATGTCTCCTTCTGAGCGTTAAAGCTCATGATATCCTTCGCCAGCTCATATCTATGTGAAGCTGGATTCAGTGCTCGTCTGCATCAAATGCAAATATCGATGGATGAGGTGGTATTGATGAGGAACGCATTGTCGATCACTTTTGAAAGTTCCGCCGGGACATGCGCAAGTACACCCATACTTTCAGACTGCTTTGCAACTGACTGTCGTTGGCTGTTGATTACAACACTTTTTCACATGGTTGGGCTTGCAAGAATTGAAAATGATAACAAAATGGGGTTGTGTATATATATATATACACACACACAGTGCATTCGGAAAGTATTCAGACCACTTGACTTTTTCCACATTCTGTTATGTTACAGCCTTGTTCTAAAATTGATTAAATTGTTTATTTCCCTCATCAATCTACACACAATACCCCAAAATGACAAAGCAAAAACAGTTTTTTTTTTTTTTAGCAAATTTATACAAACATAAAAACTGAAATATGATATTTGCATAAGTATTCAGACCCTTTACTCAGTATTTTGTTGAAGCACCTTTGGCAGTGATTACAGCCTAGAGTCTTCTTGGGTATGACACTACAAGCTTGGCACACCTGTATTTGGAGAGTTTCTCCCATTCTTCTCTGCAGATCCTCAAGCTCTGTCAGGTTGGATAGGGAGCATTGCTGCACAGCTATTTTCAGGTCTCTCCAGAGATGTTCGATTGGGTTCAAGTACGGGCTCTGGCTGGGCCACTCAAGGACATTCAGAGACTTGTCCCGAAGCCACCCCCATGCTTCACTGTAGGGATGGTGCCAGGTTTCCTCCAGACGTGATGCTTGGCATTCAGGCCAAAGAGTTCAATCTTGGTTTCATCAGACCAGATAATCTTATTTCTCATGGTCTGAGAGTCTTTAGGTGCCTTTTGTCAAACTCCAAGCTGGCTGTCAATGTGCCTTTTACTGAGAAGTGGCTTCCGTCTGGCCACTCCACCATAAAGACCTGATTGGTGGAGTGCTGCAGAGATGGTTGTCTTCTGGAAGGTTCTCCCATCTCTACAGAAGAACTTTGGAGCTCTGTCAGAGTGACCATCGGGTTCTTGGTCACCTCCCTGACCAAAGCCCTTCTCCCCCGATTGCTCAGTTTGGCCGGGCGGTCAGCTCTAAGAAGAGTCTTGGTGGTTCCAAACTTCTTCCATTTATGAATGATGGAGGCCACTGTGTTCTTGGGGACCTTCAATGCTGCAGACATTTTTGGGTACCCTTCCCCAGATCTTCGCCTTGACACAATCCTGTCTCGGACCTATACGGACAATTCCTTCGACCTCATGGCTTGGTTTTTGCTTTGACATGCACTGTCAACTGTGGGACCTTATATAGACAGGTGTGTGAATTTCCAAATCATGTACAATCAATTGAATTTACCACAGGTGGACTCCAATCAAGTTGTAGAAACACCTCAAGGATGATCAATGGAAACAGGATGCACCCGAGCTCAATTTCGAGTCTCATAGCAAAGGGTCTGAATACTTACGTAAATAAGTTCAAGTAACAGACACATCTCAACATCAATTGTTCAGAGGAGACTGTGTGAATCAGGCCTTCACGGTCGAATTGCTGCAAAGCAACCAGTACTAAAGGACACCAATAAGAAGAAGAGACTTGCTTGGGCCAAGAAACACGAGCAATGGACATTAGACCGGTGGAAATGTGTCCTTTGGTCTGGAATCCAAATTGGAGATTTGTGCTCAGCATATGTGGGAACTCCTTCAAGACTGTTTGAAAAGCATTCCAGGAGAAGCTGGTTGAGAGAACGCCATGAGTGTGCAAAGCTGTCATCAAGGCAAAGGGTGGCTACTTTGAAGAATATAAAATATATTTTGATTTGTTTAACACTTATTTGGTTAGTACATGATTCCATGTGTTATTTCATAGTTATGATGTCTTCACTATTATTCTACAATGAAGAAAATATTAAAAATAAAGACAAACCTTTGAATGAGTTCAAACTGTTGACTGGTACTATATATATATATATATATATATATATATATATATATATATATATATATATATATATATATATATATATATATATATATATATATATATATATATATATATATATATATATATAAATAATTATTTTTAAAAGGATAGTTGGGAGTTTCTTTTGCAACTACATTTTAAACATCAGGAGACCCCACATATTACTTTATTTTAGTCATATCCAGAGCAACTTACATTAGTGCATACATTTTCATACTGTTCCCCCGTGGGAATCGAACACACAACACTGGCGTTGCAAGCGCCATGCTCTACCAACTGAGCCACACAGGACACGCGACCCATAGTTTGGGAAACGATGTTCTATTCTTTGAAACCCACTACACTTGCAGTGAAAACATTAATAGACATGTAGAGCAACGAGCGTCATTGATATTTACCCATACAACCTCCAGCTCTTCATTTAACTTGTCAAGTTTTTCAAAGTCCTCTTTGTTGATGACGGGGCCACCAGATTTGAGCCTCCAGTTGTTCAGCTTCCAGTTCTTCACCCAGCTGGTGACCCCTGGAGGAAACAACACAACAGTCATTAAGATAGTCACATTAGTAGGCCTAGCTAGTAACATTAGATGCTGCATCATGGCTGCAGCATCACACAAAGCCATGTCACATTCAGTCAGGCTGATAGAGTGTTAGTAAAGTGCTGTAATCAGCACACGCGTACCGTTAATGGTGAACTTGCTGTCTGTATAGAGCACCAACTTCTTGATGTCCATCTCTTTGGCCTGCTCCAAGGCTTTACAGGCTGCCTGTGCCATTCGGAAGCAAAATGTGTGATTCAAATCTCTGTGGGGTTACAATCCAATTCCATTCAAATAATAGCAATCTGGTTTAGAGAGTTCAGAATTAAAACAAATATGACAAACACAGTACTTTCCTGTAATTCTGCCCTCTGGTTGGTCTGTCTTCCATCCAGAGGATCAGCTACATTCCTACAGTAAAGAGAGTCAATATGAAAACCTACCCACTGTAGTGTCAAACAGTCTACGAGTTATAACCACAGACCCAGGCCTACTCACAGAGGATGGTCACGTCCCCAGTACACCCCGATCCCAGCTCGGGCTCCGGCCTTCCCATTGCCTGAACAGCAACCATCTGTGTACACCACCACTGCATCACCTGGAAAACCAGACACAAAACAGACTCATCATCATGTTGTTTTAATCATGTTTAATTCATTTTCAATCATCATTATAGGATATTTGCTGCTACTATAGGCTATTCGTATGTTTTGGGTTTATTTGTGCATGTTTATGTGTATAGGTATGTGTACATATGACAGTCATACGCTTTTTGTTTAGTGTTTTGCTTTTTCCTCCTTGATTCTTCGCTTTATTTATTATTTGTTTCTTATTACTTTTTCTTTTTGATGTTGCTCCCCCTGTGTACTGCTTTTATTTACTGCTTTTATGTTGCCTTATATGGAATATACTCAAAATTATTGTTCACGAAAAACATGTTTTACATTTCTTAACTAAAACAAGAAATACGATTTAAAACTGCAGGAGTAACAGGTCTATTTACCCATGTAGGTGAATCCATCAGAGCTCTTTGAAGATGTGCAGCTGTCTTGAGATGCCTCCTGGGACAGTTTAGCTCGTTTGGCAGGGGACACCACCTCCTCCTCCACGTGATCATAGTGCCTCTTCTGACCAATGGGAATATACTCAAGGGCCTCCGGGGCCCTTCTTGGGAGTGTTGCCTCATAGCTGGCTCCTGAAAGATAATATCTTAGTCTGAGTATAAGTCTGATTCCGCTGTGCCTGAATGGTGCACTACTTGTCTAATGACTAGATAGGCTTCCCATTCCTAGAGCCAGTAAAACCAGTACCCATTGTATTGTCATTTCACAAGTACAGTGACCCTTAGAGAAAGAACATAGTCATTTATCTACCCTCTGACATGTCTGGAGTTATCGACGTTGCTTTGCTTCTGACGAAAGCCCAGGCATCCTTTTCTGCACCAAACTTCTTGTAGCTGGCATATGGGAACTTGTCAACTTGGCTTTTACATTCATCCCTGAAAAAGTAAACACGTGATATTCAACGTGAATAGAAATGACAAAATGTGTTTAAAGACACACTACAGTGGGAACTAGCTCCCTAGCTAGGTAACTACTACACAACTCACCAAGTTTGGTAAACTCCAGGGTTGAATCCTTTCCTCACAGCGTAGAAGAATTTGCCTTTCACCATCTCCTCTGTGCCAATGCAGACTGCCCTGCGTATTATACTATAAAGAACGGGTAATCTGAACATCACTTAGACCAGCAATTACTTAAAAGTGGAAGCACCGGTCAATGTCTTCATTTCAGAAATGTGAACAAGTTGAACAAACTAACTAGCTATGTGTTAAAATGCAAGGAAAACTATTAGCTAGCCGTCATTGGAAACAAATAAAGGTATGTAAACAGTGGCTAGCTTGCTAGACAGCTAACCCAAAACAAACACATTTGGTTAGCTACTATCTAACAACCGTAATGTCAACACACAACCCTAAAAGTTAGCTATACATTTGAACATGATCTACACTGACATACTTTTGCTTCTTTTTGGACTCTGTATTTACATTGCTTACTTTAACGTTCACGATATCTGCTGAACTGATCTGTTGGTGTTAAAAACCATACTTCCGTGTTCCCATGATTCCTTCCCACAACGTAGTTTTATCCACCTCTCGCGAGATTCCGGCCTCTTCCGTGGCCGTCGTTGACTGAGGTAGGTCTTGATAATGCTCCCACTGATCGGAATTTATTGTGAAAATGTTGTAAATGTGCACAGAATGTCCTCGTTTTTGTATCAGAGTTCATGTAAGACTGTTGATGTGTTAGATTTTTATATTTCAGATTTTGGATGGCCGTTGTGTAATGAATTGTATGAAGTGTTTCACGATAGACTTAACGTGAAAACTGGAAGGAGGCATAGCTGGCGCGTTGAGGCCCATGTGTTCCTTTTAGAGTTGCCTGTAGTTAGTCTACGAGTAGCTTTTTGAACTGTTTAATATTTTACTTTTGTCAAGTGTCCTGTCAGTTAAGTCTGAAATATGGTGTATGTTTGAGTACTCTTGCTGAAGTTCGTTGCTAGCTAACGTTAGCCATTTGATAATGAACCTGGGTTTAAAGACGGGCAACTAGCTAACGTTAGCTAGCTAATTATGTAACTTGGAACATGCGACCCTATCTACTGTAATTGTTTGATGTAATACAATTACTTGTTAGGTTGTTTATGATGGTTATTAGCTAGCGAACTTCGTTTGTATTTTGAATGTGTACATGGGATCAGCTATTGTTTTCGACTGTTCGTTTGATCAAACGTAGCCGATAGTGTTAGCTAGTAACTGCATGTATGTATGGTGTGGTGGAGTCAGCATGGACCACTCGGCTAACGTTGGTTAGTTTCAGTGTGTATACATTACCTGAAACATTGCATGATGTCCAAAGATATACAGGACTCGGGAGTATGCTCAATCGGTAGTCTTGTCTTTCTTTCATTCCAGAGACATAGGCCATGTTCAGTACCAGCGCCAAAATCGTGAAGCCCAATGGCGAAAAGCCAGATGAGTTCGAGTCTGGCATTTCCCAGGTAAGCTATGGCAAATCTGTCAATATATGGCACTTTATATAACACTTCCTTGGTCATGTGGCTAATGCTGTTTGCAATATTCAACATACAACCTTCTTTCTAGGCTCTCCTGGAGCTGGAGATGAACTCGGACATGAAGGCTCAGCTGAGGGAGCTGAACATCACTGCTGCAAAGGTAAGGATCCTGTAATGCATGTCTTGTATTTGCCTTCATTCTTGACTGTTTGCTCAGACCATTTTGGATTTTTGAAACGTGGTAAGAGTTTGTCTGACCCTTAGTAAAAGGAGCTGTGTGGTGTTTGAGTTTAACCCCAACGTGGACATCCTGTGAGGTTGCTCTCGCATGGCTCTGTCCTTGTGGCGTATGGGAGCGTAGCACTTCAAAGTGCTGTGACGTACAGTCCCGTTCCACGACGTTGGAGAGCAAGCTTTGTCCCCGGCCCTCGGGCTGGTGAGGACGGCGTTCTGTATATTCCTACATCTTCCCAGAGCTCTTTAGGCCATGACTGGGGGGCTAAACCATGCAGTGCATACTATTTTTCATTCAGACAGCTAATGCACTCAAAGCATCTACTAAAGTGTTTTTGTATTTGCCTCTGTTTGTGTTCTAACTGAAATGGTATCCTCTCCCTCAGGAAATTGAAGTTGGTGGTAGCAGGAAAGCCATCATCATCTTTGTCCCCGTGCCCCAGCTGAAATCTTTCCAGAAGATTCAGGTGCGACTCGTGAGGGAGCTGGAAAAGAAGTTCAGCAGCAAACACGTCGTCTTCGTTGCACAGGTTAGGGTGATGTTGTCTCGCTGTCCTGTTTTCCATGAGTTGCAGGGGCATTTTGCAGAGCTGTTGTTGTGACCCCGCTGTCGGTTAGCTTGGTTCTTTTGGAGAAGTCTGACATCTGAGTGCTCAAATATACATGTTTCTATGCTGTGAGTGTAGCATAATATCAACGTGGACATCTGGTGAGGTTGCTCTCGCATGGCTCTGTCCTTGTGGCGTATGGGAGCGTAGTACTTCACAGTGCTGTGACGTACAGTCCCGTTCCACGACGTTGGAGAGCAAGCTTTGTCCCTGGCCTTCCGGCTGGTGAGGACGGCGTTCTGTATATTCCTACATCTTCTCAGAGCCCTTTGGGCTATGACTGGGGGGCTAAACCATGCAGTGTACATTACTTATTTAGAATGCTTGTTGGGCTTTAAAAGTCTGCCTGTTTAAATTGGTAATCCTTGATATTTTGATTCAACTTGCAGAGGAGAATCCTGCCCAAACCAACCAGGAAAAGCCGTATCAAGAATAAGCAGAAGCGTCCCAGGAGGTGAGTTCTGTTGTCACACCTGCATGTCCACGACTACATACTCTATGGAAGAGACAATGGGTTGTAGCTTTAAAGTTGGAGCAAATGGGTGCTAGTTTTATAAGTTAAAATTGTTGTGCCATTGTTGTGCACACCATATTTGGACCCAACGTGGACATCCGGTGAGGTTGCTCTCGCATGGCTCTGTCCTTGTGGCGTATGGGAGCGTAGCACTTCAGTGCTGTGACGTACAGTCCCGTTCCACGACGTTGGAGAGCAAGCTTTGTCCCCGGCCCTCCGGCTGGTGAGGACGGTGTTCTGTATATTCCTACATCTTTCCAGAGCCCTTTGGGCCATGACTGGGGGGCTAAACCATGCAGTGTACAATTTTACTAACACCATGTCATATGCTTTTAATGGGATTTTGCATAGGTTATTATATATAGCTACAAGATTAAATGGGGACAAACTATATAATGCAACAACTTTCCCTCCTATTACTCTGCGTTATCCTGTGAGTAGGGCTGTTAACCCCGGTGTCCTGGCTAAATTCCCAATCTGGCCCTCATACATCATGGTCGCCTAATCATCCCCAGCTTCCAATTGTCTCATTCCTCTCCCCTGTAACTACTCCCCAGGTCATTGCTGTAAATGAGAATGTGTTCAGTAAAATTACCTGGTAAAATAAAAATATATATAATCTAAAGCAGACACTGCTTGTCTCCAGTAATGATTTCAATACACCTGCATAGCTTTTTGATTCAGTTGCCCTTTCCAATACATGCATTCAAACATGTATAAAGAATATTCTTCTGATTTTGAATGAGACTGATCTGTAGGGGAAATAGTTTTCGCAGGGTTTAGAACATTTCTGTAATCACCCCAAATGTCTAATGCGCATTGTTATGTTTCTCCAGCCGTACTCTGACCGCTGTGCACGATGCCATCCTTGAAGACCTGGTCTTCCCCAGTGAGATTGTCGGCAAGAGGATCCGCGTGAAACTGGACAGCAGTCGGCTCATCAAGGTCCATCTTGACAAGGCGCAGCAGAACAACGTTGAACACAAAGTGAGTCATGTAGTAGTCTGCTAGTTCGCCCACCTTAACCCCAACGTGGACATCCGGTGAGGTTGCTCTCGCATGGCTCTGTCCTTGTGGCGTATGGGAGCGTAGCATTTCACAGTGCTGTGACGTACAGTCCCGTTCCACGACGTTGGAGAGCAAGCTTTGTCCCCGGCCCTCGGGCTGGTGAGGACGGCGTTCTGTATATTCCTACATCTTCCCAGAGCCCTTTGGGCCATGACTGGGGGGCTAAACCATGCAGTGTACAACTTCTCTTGACTGATGTCTCAACTGATTTATGTGCTGCAAATGTCTTGTGCCAAATGCATGCCTTTTGCATTGTCATATGCAATTGATATATTGATCATTGTGACCTGTAAATGTTGCAGTGGTTAACCAGTGATTGCCTCTATTTTCAGGTTGAGACCTTCTCCGGTGTCTACAAGAAGCTCACAGGCAAAGACGTTGTTTTCGAATTCCCCGAATTCCAACTGTAGAGTGCAGATGACGACAAAATAAATGAGTTTATTCTCAATGTCATTGCTCTGTGTTCTCTGGGGATAGGGTGGTCAGTCATGCCAATCCCATAAATAATGGTGTAGCCCAGGGCTCTCCAACCCTGTTCCTGGAGAGCTTACCCTCCTGTAGGTGTTCTCCAGTCCTGTTCCTGGAGAGCTACCCTCCTGTAGGTGTTCTCCAGTCCTGTTCCTGGAGAGCTACCCTCCTGTAGGTGTTCTCTCCTACCCCAGTTGTAACTAACCTGTTTCAGTTTGTCATCCAGCTAATTATTAGAATCTGGTGCGTTAGATTAGGATTGGAATGAAAACCTACAGGACGGTAGCTCTCCAGGAACAGTTGGAGAGCCCTGGTCTAGAGACTAATATCCTTTCAGACAAGTATGTCTTTCAGAAGGGCCATTAACTTGAATAACTGAAGACTTGGAGCAGCTTTGATGATTTATCAGTTGTATTGCCACATCCTACAACTTTGGGTGCTAAGGGGCTTTTTCAGATTGATTTTGGGCCTCTATGCAATGGTAGTATTCAAGTTTTTTTTTGCACACAGGAAAATGTCCTGATCCGATTATTACTGATGTTGAATGGAATTGACAGGTATCGTATATGTATAAATGGCAGGTATTGAGGCTATACATTGTTTCCTTGTGAGGAATGCTGAAAATATAATCAGTGGAGTAAAACAACCTTAGGTTTTGGGGTATGATGGGGGTAAGACTAGAAGCCTTTTGCAAATATTCTAATATCCAAAAATCTGGCTAAGTGACTGACCGCAGGAGACATGGCCTGGATGTGAACACGTCCTTTAACTGAAACAACTCGCCCTCTGCCTCTTGACACTGGAGAAGATCAACGGTTTCACAGTTGGGCTCTGAGTCATGGGAGGAGCTTGTTCCTGTGACAGCTGAAACTAGTGGGTCGGGTGGCGCCCCACTGTCTGATTCATGTCGTGTGATTCCTGAAGATAGTTCTCGATTATATTGACTGACTGCTGTTTTTATGGGGTGAGTGAGCTGAAGCCTGAATACTCGGACTCCTTTCATAACTACTTCCACATCACCTACGACTCAACATGTACCCAGGTAATGTCTTCATGACTGACACTCCATTATGTAGTTAAACTATTGCTTTAATAATTTGTTAAAGGATCTGTTCATATATCCTGGTCTAAGGCACAGCATCGCAGTCCTAGCTGTGCCACTAGAGATCCTGGTTTGAATCCAGGCTCTGTCGTAGCCGGCCGCGACCGGGAGACCCATGGGGCGGCGCACAATTGGCCCAGCGTCGGGTAGGGGAGGGAATGGCTGGCAGGGGATGTAGCTCAGTTTGTAGAGCATGGCGTTTGCAACGCCAGGGTTGTGGGTTCGATTCCCACGGGGGGTAAAAATTACAATAAAAAAAATAAAATAATAATGTATGCACTAACTGTAAGTCGCTCTGGATAAGAGCGTCTGCTAAATGACTTAAATGTAAATGTAAAGCAGAATGAATGCTACGCCCACTATTGTTTGGTTATTGTTTTGCAGGTGGGGGATTGCTAGACTGAAGGACAGAGGTCGAAAATTTGCCGGCTGGCTGAAACTGCCACTTTTACAGAAAATGTTGATTAATGTACTGTCCCTGCAAAAATAAATGCAGTAAAAGTCTATGGCGTTGGGCAGAAAGACTGGTCTGTGGTTTCAAGTTTTATTGTGTTGTATGTATGGGATACGCATGGTATACATCATCCAACGAAATGCTTTTTTGCAGTTTCCTTCTCGACAATGCAACAAGAAATAAAAATGAATACGAACAAAGTAAATGGCTCAGTAGAATATAAAACATTTATATTATTTATAGCATAGTTATAGTACGGCAAAATGTATAGTCTATTTACACTTAAGGCGGGAGTGGCAGTGTATAATAAGTGTCTGTAGCAGTGGGGATTTCAGCATGTAAATCTTGGTGGGGCAAACTCCCAAAACATGTTTTTGATACATACCAGCAAACCCAATACACAACACTAAACAATACATTAATAGCACTATGACGGTGACAAACTGTTAGGGCCTACATGCAGTTATCCCAACAGCAGAGCTTTATTTTCAGCACCATGGAGTGAATCCTTACTACTGCTACACCTGGCTTTCAGCAGAGCCTTGTCTGGCAGCAAAACAGTTCATTCAGCCTCATTTACTGCCTTTTTAAAAACATAGCTGATTTGGCTGGCTTGCTTAAACAAATGTGGTTTCTACTGAAAATTGAGATGTACAAACTATGGCATGGACGTGGTCCTCTGTAGCTCAGCTGGTAGAGCACGGCGCTTGTAACGCCAAGGTAGTGGGTTCGATCCCCGGGACCACCCCATACACACAAAAAAAAATTGTGTACGCATGACTGTAAGTCGCTTTGGATAAAAGCGTCTGCTAAATGGCATTTAAGGGGCAATCCATAATTTCAATTAAGACATTCATGAGCGAGCTAGGACGGACATAGTCAATATAACAGTTTGTTCAGCACTTTTTAAATGTACAGCGACAGAATTCAGAACATGGCCCGTGACTCTGGCTCAGGCTCCTTCCGTGTGTACCACTCTGTACCAGACTTGTTTTGTATAAGACTGGTTTATTGGACCTGCTTGAGTTTGCGAAAGTAACTCTTTCATCTTGGTCAACTGGTCTGACTCAATTCGTGCATTCAATTCGTCGAAGTCACTCGATTGTTCATCTGGTGTATTTGTTCAATTCGTCTGATTCATTTGTTCGTCCTGCTGGTCATTCTGTCTGATTCATTTAAGCATTGGCAACTGCTCATCTGTGTGGGTGATCAGAAAAGAACAAGAAATCCTACGAATAATAGCAGTTTCTGTGTTTATCAGAAGAGGGACTATATTTGAGGTCGCTTATATCTTCTGTCTCTTGTGGGGAGAGGGCGTGCCCAATCTCGCATTAGGAGGAGAATAATAAATGGTGCGTGGATATTCATTGACAAACTGAGTGTTGAAAAATAATGTTACCAGGAGGGGCGTGAGAAAATCCTGTTAGAGGAACAGGTCGCGTGTACCGGTGTGGTTGTATGTCGTCTAGACATTGTGATTTAGGATTATGGTAAAATTGATAATAGTAAAATGATAATGTGACAAGGTTGACATTCCAAATTTGGGCCCTTTTATAGAAGAAAATATTCCTGCAGGTTATACAAACAGGGGCGGTGTGTTCAATAGGGCGATATGGGCGACGCACTGCCAAACGGGAAAAGGAAGGGATTTTTTTTCTAATCAATTATATCACGGCAACAGTAGTTATCAGTGTTCTAATCTGATCTGACTGCCACTAAATGTCCAATCAGGCTAAAGTCGTGCTTCAAATGCCCCCCCCCCCTTTTGGGGCGATTTCAGTCAGGTTGAAAATCGCCCAGAAGTCTGTCATAGACTCCCATGTAAAATCTATATTTTTCAAATTTCAGAGCTTTCAATACAATCTCTATGGGTTTCTGAGGGCTTGCACTTACGCGCTTTCGTCATACGTAACGTAACCATGAACGTAACTAAGAAAATAGCGGGTAGCAGCGTCTCTGTTGCGACCTGCAGTGTGGCGTTATCTTATGTTTTTAATTTGTACACTTAGTGGCGTTATTTTATGTTTTTAATTTGTACACTTAGTTTACAAACATTCTGCCAACCATGGATTTCCAGTGGTGGGTTTTGGACTGATCTTGTTGATCGTGTACATACCCGCTACGAACGGACTAAATAATGAAAACGCTGCTGGCAGCGGAATCCAATACAGCAGAACAAACTTCCCTTACCCACCACCTTGCTGATTAATGCCCAGTCACTGAGGGGGAAAGCGGATGAGTTGTCAGCGAATCTGCGCTTCCAACACGAATATCGGGAGGCCTGTTTGCTGGCATTTACTGAGACTTGGCTGGATGACAGAGTCCCGGACAGAGAAGTGGAGCCGGCCAGCTTCACCCTGGTCAGAGCGGACCGCGATCTGACAGTCACAGGGAAAATCGATCCTGGTAAGAGAGCGACTCTGTACCCCCGACATTGAACTGCTTTCTGTGTCACTGCGACCTTACTATCTGCCCCGTGAGTTCCCCCAATTGTTTGTTACCGTTGTGTACATTCAACCAAAAGCTAATATAACAAAGGCATCAGAGATTATTTATAATCTGTCACAGAAACTGGAATCCATCTCCCCAGATCAGTCAATAAATGCTTCTGGTATTGATTTATATGCTGCCCCTGTCTTCATGTTGTTGCTGGACATATCTTTTTTAAAATGTGTGTAGGTCACCTAAATCATCAGAAAAATTGCCCCCCCTGAGAATTTTTTCAGGAGCCGCCACTGTATACAAATAGTGATTAGGTATCTTTGAGAATAGCATTGTGTGAATGAGATATGAGAGTGGTATAAATGTGGAAAATAAGTCACAATCTGAAGTTTGAATAATAAGATATAGAAGTACATATGATAATTTGATATAAGTTTGGATAATAAGCTTTGATATAAAATGCAAATCAATTTCTAACATTTTTGACATGCGTTTTTCTGGATTTTTTTGTTGTTATTCTGTCTCTCACTGTTCAAATAAACCTACCATTAAAATTATAGACTGATCATTTCTTTGTCAGTGGGCAAACGTACAAAATCAGCAGGGGATCAAATACTTTTTTCCCTCACTGTATATTAGGAAGAAGAATACCATTAACTGAGGAATATAAAAACTTTCAGCTGAGATCGATAACAGAAATAACAAATTTAGCGGAAGCAAGAGAAGAGTGGCCATATATAGATTGGGCTGGGATAATAGGAAGAAATTGGACAGTACAGAATATTGGAGAAACTCTTGAAGAATTAGCAGATCAAAAAAGGTTGTATTTTATAATAATCCCAATAGATAAACAGGTTGAACCTTGGCTGACACTAGGGGAAGAGCAAGGTTTTGAAAGAGGGAAAATGCAGAGAGGGAAGGCGATAAGGGAACCTCAAATAGAAGTATCTATAGTATTAAAATAAGTTCAGTGGATTAATCC